ACAGGCCACAGACAAGTTGAGGGAGCTGCTGTTCACGATGGCTGACAGCCTCACACAGCTTGACAGTGAATTCACTTTGTAGTTGTGACTCATTTTATGCAGAATTAAAACTAACTTCCTTTTAGATCAGTACTGACTGTAACATGTCCCCTCACAGGTGGCCCCTCAAGTGGACCCCCCTCAGCCAGTCCAGTGAAAAACCAAAGACGGCCCACAGGTATACATTTGTGAAATGGCTCTTGGCTTCAAATAACCATTGGCCATCTCCAATACCAAGGATTCAAAATCTAAATGTGATGTCACACTGGCTGTGGCCAACTTTTCTATACAACCTAATGGATGTTTGCTCATAAATGATTCCATTGATGCATGCTTTCAGTCAGGAATGTAAAGCAGGACACTCTGCAGGTTAGAAACATGATTAAACCACAACAGAAGCTTCCCGTATGTGTAATCCAGTATGGTTATGGTAGCTGAAGTTGGCTTGGATCAGGAGATGCTGCTCTTCATTTTCATGTGTAAAATTAAATTACAAGAGGCTGTACAACAGATCATGTTGTGATCTGTTGTGAAATCCATAATAATTTTTTGCTGCAACCAAAATACCTGGGAAATGTCAAATGGGTATATCTTTTGTAAAGACAATGGAAATTACCAGAAGGAAAGTAAGATTTTGGGGCTACAGGTGTACCTGTTAATAGTGGATCATATTGGAAGTTTCCCTTGTTCTCCATCATGAATAAGAAAAGCTTTATTCATCCCAAAGGAAAACTCATATGATGAGGAAGAAGTAAGGGGAAAAAAATAAAACAAAACCACATAAACGATGGTTGCCGTGGACATCTGTAAACAGTTTCAAACACTCAGTTTGACTGTACTACAAATATTTATTCGCCATTATGCCTTGACTGGAGTAGTTCTGCATGTTTTGTGAAACTGGCCCACTGGTACAGAACCCCAACACATAGATGTGGTTCTGCAAGTGTGGACTACCAGTCACAATAAACTTTAATCTTGAAAGAGGCTCAAATTTTCTTTTAACATCATAATAAATTTGCATTTATTTTCAGCTGTAATGCAATCTCTTCTAAATATATTAAAACTGTTTTAAGTGATTTTAAAATGGGATTTTCTTAGTGTTGGGTAATTTTGAGGTAAGTACTGAATACAATAATGATCTTTTATCCGGTGCTTATATGTACATTGAAGTATTCCATCTTTTTCAGTAAAAGGAGACATGTAAATGTCATGCTTAAAAAGGTAATTGGGCAATTAAACGTTTTCATTAATGCAAAACTGTTCTCCTTTAGAGTTTGAGCCCTGGCAGCAGCAGAGCAGCGCTCCAGCAATGACCATGAAGAGAAGACTTCCGGGGTCCTCGCTCATCAACCCTGGGGTTAAAAAGTATGGTGTCTCTTACAGGACTTCAATAGAGCAGTGATGCTACTGATGTGAGTGAAATAAAGCTACTGTCCATGTGTGTTTGCAGAAAGCAGCAAGCGACTGGCGTTGCCTTTGATGATGCAGATGAAGACTGATCTTCCTCCTTGTACTCATAGTCCTGCTGCGCAGCCAGAGATGAATGATCTTTTAATCCACTAACAGAACATGAAAACCTCAGTGCATATTTATGGGATCAAAGCTTAAACTTTAACTGCTTTTTATTAAACAATGACTTAATGCTATATAATGGTTGTCTCCAATAAATGATTGAATGATAATTTGTAATAAAATGACATAAGAAACACATTTGCACACTTTTAATTCCCCCCCCCCCCTTTTTCAGGACTTGTTCTTATATTGTGCTTTTCTACTCTGAGAACAGCACTTTACACAACTTGCCTTATTCTCACAAGCACTTGTTTTGCTGTGCAAGTGCTTCTAGCATTCACACTCAAATGCATTGGAGAGCAACTTGGGGTTAGTATCATGCCCAAAGGATGGAGATAGGGGGTCAAACCACCAGCCTTCAATTTAATAGGTGATCTGCTCTACTTCCTGAGCTACTGCCAGCCAAAATATGGCCTGTATTTGTATAGCGCTTTACATATCCACCCATTTACACACTGGTGATGGCAAGCTACATTGTAGCCACAGCCACCCTGGGGCGCACTGAGAAGCGAGGCTGCCGGACACTGCCGTCACCGGGCCCTCTGACCACCACCAGTAGGCAACGGGTGAAGTGTCTTGCCCAAGGACACAACGACCGAGACTGTCCAAGCCGGGGCTCAAACCAGCAACCTTCTGATTACAAGGCGAACTCCCAACTCTTGAGCCACGATCGCCCCCGAGCTGCTTTCTTGTCCACTTTGTTTGATAAGATGTAGCATTCAACTCTATTTAAGTTACTGCTGTTTGTGCTAGGTGTTATCTAGGGAGGAAAGTTCCCAGTAGATGTCCTATTGAGAGTGCTGTAACTAAGATTAAGAATATAATTAATTCAGTGTTATTATCTTTGTGGAGAGCAAGCTACCTGAACTACTCCCACAGAAATAGATTGTCTTTTTAAATAGGATTTACACTGCATATTACTCTGGATAAGGTCGCTCTCCTGAAAAAGCCTTAAATCTGAAGTACTTGACATCCTGGAAATAACTCTCTAATGCACATCTTAAAGCAGATGATGTGTAAGCTGCAGAGGAAACGACATCTTGCTGATTTAGAAGATTTCCATTTAGCCTCAAAAAAATAGTTTGTAGCATTAACAAAAAATCCATCACTTGACCCAGGTGTCCTACGTACAGTTATGTACAACATAACAGTGTATTAAAAACAGAGGAAAAGGTCCATGTTGTGCTATGCAAATTCACTCTCAAATGAAATCATGAACAATTATTTTTCTTTATTTTTACTAAAAATGAAGAAAAAGAATATTAGGTTGTTCAAAAAAAAAAAGTGTGTATTTTCATTTACAAACTGGAATATTTACAGTCAACTAGCATTTGACACCTTCAAACAGAAGTTGCAGCCCAGGCTAACTGGACCACATTCCACAGATTTTCTGTATTCTTGGGTTTTGCGTCAAAAACAGAATTTTTGAGGTCACACCACAAATTTTCAATCAGATTGAGGTCCAGGGATTGGGCTGGGCTCTTTTTGGTCTGCAACCAGGATGTTACCTGCTTGCTGGTGTGTTTGGGGTCATTGTTCTGCTGAAACACCCATTTTAGGGGCATTTCTTTCTCTGCGTAAGGCAAAAAACAAAACAAACCAACAAATTATATTTAGTTTGAAAAATATGTTAAAAGTTTCGATCAAGTACCTAAAAATACTCTTCCAGTATTTTTAGGTACTGAAACTGGTCCATGGTGCCTGTTATGTGATAAATGGACCCAACTCCAAAGTATGCGAAACATCCCCAAACCATTATGCTTGCACCTCCTTGTTTTACGGTCTTCACAGTGTACTGTGGCTTGTATTCAGTGTTTGGGGGTCGTCTCACAAACTGTCTGCAATCTTCAGACCCAATAAGAACAATCTTGCTTTCATCAGTCCATAGAATATTGTGCCACTTCTCTTTGGGCCAGTCAATGTGTTCTTTGGCAAACTGTAACCTTTTCAATACTTTTTACAAGGTTTCTTGGAAATAATTTGGCTTCACATAGGCACCCTCTCCTCTGATTGTTAAAGTACTCACAGGTAAATGGAGATCTATATATCTTCCTTGATCTCTCTGGAGCTGATCACTGGATGCTTCTTTGCCATTCTTGTTATTCTATCATCTAGGCAGATGGTAGTATTCCTTTTTCTTTCCCATTTCAAAACATTTGAAATCTTTTTAGCTGAGCAGCCAATTATTTCCCCCTCTCCAATCAACTTTTGATTAAAGTTCTTTCTCCCCCAGTGCAATGTCTGGAACAACTCATTTTACTCACTGAGCAAGGGCTAAAACCAGCAGGTACAACAGCTGCTGCCTGCCTTCCTTCCTTCCTTAAATAAGGGCCTTAATTGACACCCATTTCTTCACAGATTGAATGACCTAAAATCCACACTGCTATTAATTTGAACACACCCCTTTCACTGAATCAGTCAATTACCCCCAATTAGCAGAATGCGTCTCATGTGTGTTAAGTCTGTTGGTTGGCCATTACTCTGCTACACCTAGTCATGAATTTGTTCCCATGTTGTATCATCATTTTGCCAAAAGCAGTACTTAAACACATTAGTAATGTAAGACTGCTATAATTTTACCTTCCTTTTATGTGAAAAATTCTTCAAAGAGGAAAATCTGCAGTGAAATAGTTTAAATGAAGATCAAGTAATTAAACTACATGTAAAATAACAAACTTTTTCACAATTGTTTTGGAGAATGCTGATTAAATAATGACAAAATGTTAGCCTGTTTACAATGCCAGTAGCAGTTTATAAAAAGTTAAAATTAATATTGAGATGAATTTAGTTAATCTCATTGGTGCAGCCTGGTTCTGCTGGAGGTTTCTTCCTTTTAAAAGGGAGTTTTTCTTCTTTCGCCAAAAGCATTTCCTCATAGGGGTGGTGTTTTCTCTGTACAATACTCTGTAGTATTGTAGGGCCTTTTCCCAACAATATAAAGTGCCTTTAGGTGATTGTTGTTGTGGTGGCTTTAAGTGTGAATAATAGATAAAAAGTGCATAGAATAAAGTCATGTGTCTTTTAGGTGCTTAGTAACAATGACAAATGGTTCTAGTTCTTATATAGTGTTTTTTTAACTTTACCTGACCACTCAAAGCACTTAACAAAATGGGAAAAAATGATTAAAAAAAACCCCCAAAACATTTGTTGTGCATTTATGGGGCGATCGTGGGCTCAAGACTTGGTAGTTCGTGTTGTAATCAGAAGGTTGCCGGTTCGAGCCCCGGCTCCGACAGTCTCGGTCGTTGTGTCCTTGGGCAAGACACTTCACCCGTTGCCTACTGGTGGTGGTCAGAGGGCCCGGTGGCGCTAGTATCCGGCAGCCTCGCCTCTGTCAGTGCGCCCCAGGGCAGCTGTGGCTACAATGTAGCTTGCCATCACCAGTGTGTGAATGGGTGGATGACTGAAAGTAGTGTAAAGTGCTTTGGGTTCAACAGAGACTAAGTAAAGCGCTATACAAATACAGGCCATTTACCATATTTAGATTCATTATCAGAAGAAAACCAGTTCATGTAATGACATGCAAAAGGACAATATACACACAGAAACTATACAAAATAAGCAGCTAGGGCAGCCATTTTATCTTTAGGTTTTTTAGCATTGCCACGACGTCCACGTCCACGTCCTCCTCTTCTCCCACCCCCACCACGGTACATGGAATGCCGCATGGTGGCATGCTTGAGCTCCACCAAATCCTGAAACACTGGATCACAAAAAACACAGCCAGTGTGTTGGGTCTCACTGGCAGGAAGAGGAGTGCGAGTCTTGTTAAAGTCCACTGCAACTAGAGAGGCATCACAGACATCACAGCTCTCCTGAGCAACCTGAGAAAAAAGCATTAACGAAAATAAATAAATCAAGGAACTGGGGTACTGTTTCATACTTTCTTCGGTTTCAGTAATGCTATAGATCAAAGATGCTTGTATGGAAAAAACGGAAACAGTTTGACCTCTCTGTGAGGAGGTTACATGCTCTCTGTACTTACAATGGGCTTTCTCCCACAGACAAACAACATGGGTATTACGAAATGACAATTCTACCTTGGCATTAGGTGAGGATGCAACGGCAATAAAAAGTGTAAGTGCATAGAATGAAGTGCTGTATGAATATGTGAGAAAGGTTGAACGTTACTGTAGTATAGAGTGTGGTCAGTTTGAAAACATCTATACATGCCAGTCCATAATAGACAATAATAAAGTAAGACAATAGGTAGGTAAGACAATAATTTTCTTACCTGCACTTTGTGTGCATGTTCAAAGAAGTGCACCACCACATTGCATTTATTACAGGCCATCCTCCACTTTGGACCAGATGTGGGGTCCAACACTAAAACTCCACTATCACACTCCACACATTGTCCAATGCCCAACGAGTTGAGAGAGTGCTGACATGATGGATGGGTACATTCATTGCATCCCATACCTGAGAAAAGCAGACAGCGCCACAGTGTCAGAGGGGCCCATGAGACCAGAAAGCACAAAGAAACGGTCGCTTTTCCTAAGACAGTAGTGGGTGTATTGTATGTATTGTGTTGTGTGTATTGAGCTTCTTCAATTATTCATTCATTACACAGTCAACTTCAGTTCCAATGAAGGGATAACCAGCATGTAAATATCTTGTAGTTTCCTCACTTTCTCTCAGTCTCCCTTTGATTCTGTGGTTTCATTGGAGCATGCTAGAAGAGTTGACACACTGTCCTCAAACATGCCTAAAACATTGATTAACTATTTAACACAGCAATCTTACAGAGGCAGCTGTTGTTAAGACAGTGTTGGTACAATCTTAGAAATATATGTCTGAGATTTTAGGGCCAAGTACAATAACCTCAGTTTTATGTGACTTTAGAAGAAGAAAATTAGAGGTCATACAGGTCTTTATGTCTTTAAGACAATCCTACAGTCTAATTGGTGAGTGTTATCTGGCTTCATGGATAGATAATATAAGTGTAATGTGCTTGAGTTCAGCTGAACCACCCCCAGACCCACCTCAAGAAGAGGACCAGGGCACAGTATGCTTAAATAGAACTAGGCAGTAATCCTACTACTATAGTACAGATCACCTAGTTTAAGTACTCTGGAATAGAGCAGGGCGATTTGACCAAAAATATTTATCACAATATACATTTGAAAATTTGCGATAACGATATAATTGACACTAGACAAAATACTTTACAACTCCACAACTTTATTAGTGCAAAAAACCCCAAACAAACCATCAATGTATTTTCACTTAAACAAGCAGCTGCTTTTTATGTGCATTAAAGTTAAAGGCATTTTCAGTGGAAATTGGCCGACAAATCCTCAGCATAACCATGTATAATATCCACAAAACTTAGAAAGAGGTTATACACACACAATACGGTAGTATTATGTTGAAGCACAGTACGTATCACTCCGTGAGGCTCCTGACCACAGTAGCCGTAATACTCCTACAATCCATCAAGCGGTGTGGCTTCATAGCTTAGCAAAGTCGTGCTAAAACATTTGACAGATTTTCGAGCGCCGTGTACCACATACAATCGTTTCGAGGTCAGTAAACACAACCAGAATTCATACATAAGGCAAACGGGATTATAAGGGGCACTATTGATTTTCAGAAAAATCAAAGGATTGATTTTAAGTGTGCCGTATTTTCTAAAAAAAACAAAACAAAACACGGGAATAACAACGGCCCGCTAGCATGCTCTACCAAAAATAGTGCTTTGTCGTGTATCTGACAAAAGCTTAACCATTTCCACACCACTGGAGTTGCAGCATTTTTACAAACCAATTCTGGTTCATCCGTTTCATTCAACGATCCGCTTTCGCCCTTCTCATTCTCTGTCACCGCCATGCTTTTTCCGCCATGTGCGTATGAAAACAAAGGCACTGTGCATGCGCGTTTTACCCATATTCTATCGCAATATTTCATTTCCTTATCGTTGCCCAACAGTATACAGGTATCACCGTGAACAGTATGATATGGCCCAGCCCTACTCTGGACCTACATCTTCAAAAAGGTATTTCTGCGAAATGAAACACTCTTACAAACTACTTTCCGCTGCTCACAAGGGGCTGCCACAGCAGGTGGCTCTACATGTTTTATTTGCCACATTTTTAACATGGATGCCCTTCCTAACACCCCCAGGATCGAACCGATAAGCTCTTGCATTTTTAGGTGAATGTGTAAATACCGTGAACAAAGGTTTAAAAAATACTATTAAAAAACTTTCAGAGCTCAGTTGATTTCAGCGCAAATGCAAGTGGAAGTATAATTGATAAGCAGAATCAATGGGCAAGCAGACTGAAATAATGGGAACCAGTTCTCTACAACATCTGGTTCTTAGTTCCCTAACCTTCACTGTGGCTCCCTGATGCCCCGTCTTTCTCGGCTTTTTTGACCATACCTGATTGACTATGCTAACCTTTTAGTGTTAAAAGAAAGAAGCAACTCTGTATTTTTGAATTGTTTAAAGTTGAGCATTGTCCATCTTGATTAAATGATTTTCAGGTTGAATGTAGCTCAGGTCAGGTCTTCCACTGATCGGAAGGATGGTGGTTTGATCCCTGGCTCCCCCAGTCTGCATGCCAAATATCCTTGGACAAGATACTAACCCCAAGTTGCTCTCCGATGCTGTTACCTAGGAAGCACTTAATGTATAGAAGTGCTTGTGTGAATAGGTGTATGTGGCATGTTGTATAAAGCTCTGTGAGTGCTCCAGGAGAGTAGAAAAGCGTTATATAAAAGAATCAGTCCAGTACCAGAAAATTATATTACGGATTAGTTTGATTCTTAGAGGGTTTCAAGGCTCATGCTAGTTAACTATAGTTGGTGGGCAGTGGTTAACATAACATTCCCATTCTGCCTTACCTTTCTTCATGTCCCTGAATGGCGGGTTGCTGAAGCAGTAGGGGCACAGGGGGTAGCTCTTTCCCCGCGCCCCTGAAGTCCAAAGCACAAGCTCAAAGTCATCCAGTGGACACCGGAGCTCCTTGTAAAGCTTGATGGCTCCATTCTGGGGAAGACTATAGGTCTCGTCACAGTGAGAGCAGTGGAGTCTGCTGGGCTTGGCCTGCATGCACATGTTTGCTTCATTTCATTTAAGAATCACTCACTGCCACTCATGGGCAGTTACACATTTTACCATAAAGTGGCTAAAGGCCACTTCAGATCAATATCATCACCAAGTCTGAAAACACACATCTGGGGTGCAACGATACTCGTATCGATATTGAACCGTTCGATACAGTGCTTTCGGTTCGGTAC